TTTCAGCAGAAAGGGAGAACTGGGAAAATACTACCCCGATACTACCCCGCTGTTTTTCGCTCTTTTTGAAAGGTGACCTTAACGTATGCATGTGGATATCACAGTAAGCCGAAAGGGCAGCCATTGGTCTCTGGTCAAGGTGTGGCGTAAATTGACTAAACCTTTCGGGCCTTCTAGGTGAAATAGGTATCTCCAGGTCACTATAAGAAAGAAATAAATATATTTGTGGCCTCATTAAAAATCATGGTTAAATCATACTATGTGATAATACATGCTAAAATAGTAAGAAAATGTTATAATATATAATAATTTATGGTAAACTATTTATGATACTATATCATAATGTGTAATAATATGTAATAATAGTATGTAGTATAGCAACAATAATAATGTAGGAAGGCTTCATCAAATGGAGAATAAAATCTTTTCCCCTTCGGAAGAGGGTGTCGAACCTTATCGGAAAGACAATTCCTTTTCATTTATTGATACCTCAGGTCCATACGGATCTAAAAATGAGGTTATGAAAATAAAGTGGAGACTTCGAATGAAACTTGGCACGGATTGTGGCATAACTTGTGGGATATCTGAAGGGAAACACTGCGTCGTTTATCAGTCTCAGTATTCCTACAACTCAGGGAACAAAACGGGACATGGGGCCGAATAGGGAAGGTTTGTTTGCTTATGCATTCTACCTGGGCTCTACAGTTCTCTGATAGCTTTCAGCTCCGTGATCCTTATCGATTTTTTTACTGATATTGTTTTTTCATGATATTTGCTGCCTTTTCGAATTCGGCTTTGGTTACCAAGCCTCATGCAGGTGGCAAGTGACGGCATTTCAGAGACACGACTCGGTTTACACATCAGTTGACTGGCCACCAAGTAATAATGCGCCAGGGTCTTGGTTATTCAATAAGCAATAGGTCGGCAAAACGAAAAAGAAAGTGAAAATGCTTTGTTGGCTATTAAACCCCCTTAATTTTTGATGTTACCTGGTCTTTCATTTCACCTTTCTGCTTGGATAGCAGGGGACAGAAACTTGTAAAAGGGGTTGTGTGAAGGTAATTTAACCCATGGCCTTTTCTAACCATTACGATAGTACACTATCCCCAAAACTTTACTTATTCCTCCAATGAATCCCGTCTTCCGTTTATGTAGTCATTCTGGAAGTGCGGATGCCAAACCCATAAGGCAAGCTGCCACCCCTCAGACTATCAAGGAACGTGCTCTCCCCATTGTCTATAAAAAGAATTTTTTCAAAAGGTCGAGATCCTATATAAACTGTTGTTTTAAAAGTCCGAGATAAGGTGAAGTGTTGTGCAGCAATCGCGTCTACATTGCGCCATGCACATTTCTTCTTCCACAAGTACCGAGGTGTTGGTTGCATATGAGCCCAAATATTTCAGGAGTGGAATATTGAGTTGACGATGAAAGTCAGTGTAATAGTCATAATCAACCCTGAAAACGTAAAAAAGCCGAAAAAAAAACCTGAAACCAAAGTCTGATCTTCACCCCTCCAATTTCGATCCCATCGATGGCGATGTCTGTACTGCTACACTGCCTTCTGCTCATTTTGATTTGTTCGATGTGTAGCACCTCCTTTCCTCAGCGGCACTTTTCCTTTCTGAATTTGACTTCCAGAAACTCAAATCCTATCTTATTGATTGTGATCTCTAAATTTTACAAGTTTTTTGTAACAGTTGCCTACTGAGGAATGCCCATGATCCAGATCCATGTCATATGACTCGATACATTTTGGCCTGCCGCAATTTGGAAGGAAGCTATTTGTCTTTGGTTGCTCAATTGCTCAATAGTTTTTAACCTCACTGAGCAACTGTTCTACTTGGTTGAGGTTGTTGACGAAATGTCTATGTCCACTACTTACGCCACCGCAGTTCATTCAACAGGGGTTGTTAACATCAAGAGTTTACATGGTTCCTAGGGAAATCCTAACCTATGAACAGGGACCATTAATATAGTAGTACCAAGAAAACTGTACCATGAAAACTATTCCGGTTGAAGGAATTATCAAGGTCCAAAGGTCCACTTCAACCGGTTTCTTTTTAAAAGTCTTCGTAAACTTGGAATTTTTCTCTTCCTAATTTTTATCTTTTGATTTTTTAGCGCCATTTCATGTTTTGGCGAAGTGTCTTATTTCAATTTTTTCTTTTTTTAAAAGTTTTTCCTTAGATTCGGGTACTGTAATCTCCATTTTCATTTTGCTTTTTNTTTTTCTTTTTTATTCTGTTGCGATCTGATTATACTTACTGGTTAGTGGGGACCACCGTTCCTTCCGGGCATCCAGTCTTTTCTGAACAGCGCAGAAAGGGTAGAAGGTGAAAAAAACTTTTTTTTTTGGTTTGGAGCTCCTTTACCTGGGTCGGGATTTCCTGCAGAATTTAGTTGCGGTGAAGCTTTTTGAATTAGGTCACATAGAGCAGAAAACATATACTGAATCCTAATGTTCAATGCCTAAACAATGGCTTACAGCAGAAAACTGCGAAAGGTAAAAGTTACTACCGCTCAGAATTCTACCCCATAGATACGATTGGAAGCGCTGGGATAGAGAGCCGGATGACAAGGGCGAAAATGGGCTATGTTGTGAACCAAGAACAGTTGCGCTTGATAAGCGGCTCAGAGTGCTTGAACTTTGGTCGCTTTGCTAGAAAAGTCAGAGAGGAAGAATAAGTCAAGGAATGCTTTCAAGCATTTTCATAAACCTTATGACCCTCATAATAACAGACAAAGAACATCTAATTGTTGATAAATCATTGCGTTTTAAACACCACCTGATGTGAGAGATGTGAGGGGGTTGGAATTGCTTTCGCTGATAAACCCGGACAGCATGTGTGCACCGTGCAAACGTTTCCGGAGCGAAAATCTCGAGCAGGTATCTTTCAAATGGCCTACATCGAAGAGGAACGGGAACAAGTGATTTCAAGGGTCCAAAATGAAGAAATCGTAATTTTCATGTTCGCCACTCTGTTCAGCAGAGTTTTACTCTGGGGCGAAGTAAAATTACAATTTAGTGGAGAACCCTGGTAGCATACTGTTGGAGTTTCACTTCCTCGAGATCCGTTCCCTTTCTAAGACGGGCAGCTCCACGGAAAATTTCGCCCGCAAGTATAATATTTTTCGCCCTACTAAATTATTTAATGCATATATATATATAGTGGAATTCTTTATGGCAAGAATTTTACTAACTGCTTTCCGCTATTTCACAGCAAGAAGCCTCAGAGGTAAATCCCAGAAGTCCCAAAATTAGTCCCAAAACATTCCTTTCTGTTTGAATAAGAATTTTGAACGCGAACGGATCAGAGCCGTACAAATTAGAAGAACTGCCAAGAGAACGAACACAACAATATAATTTCCCAGAAAAACCATCGGTTCCCCAATAATTTACTGTCTTTATTTCGGAATTCAAATTTTCCGTTTAAGTTTTATGGTTCTACATCATTCCATGAATTTTCCAAGGGACTGTAACCTCATCTTTTCAATCTGAATTTGAAAAGTAGTTTTGTTTTTTATTGACCGTATTCGACAATCGTTTCTATATTACAGCAGAATCTGTACGGGTGTCGGTCTTACACTTACTCAACAAGCAGTTTTGCCATTTTCTCCTATTTCAAATCACCATTTCAGCCAAGTCTACCACGATCTACTACGTTCTGAAGAAGAATTCGTCGCAGAACTTCGTTCCTGCGTCGACAACTATGTTCGACTACTTGACGACATCCAGCTGCCACCAGCTATTGTCAAAGAAAAAGAAAAACTCGCTCTTAACCTTACCGAACTGTACAATTTCCATGCTAAGTAAGTTTTCTTGTTTTTGTGACTTTNCTTTTTCTTTCTTCCACGGCCTTGAGAGATGTTTAGCTCAGAATTGGGTAGATTAGTGGATATGATAGATCTTGAGTTTACCATTTGGTTGACTAATGTTGAGTCCGAAAATTCCGATTGAAATCGAGGCGGAAACTTTGAGTCGATACCGTATTTGTACCAAATTTAAATAGAGTTTCCATGAGAGATGAATCTTTTTTGCAGTGTCATGCTCAAAGGACTCAACTACTACTCTGATGATCCGGGAAAGGTGAGTTGCTCTGATAAGATTTTTCGCTTAATTCTAAATAAATTCTAAACTCTTGCCGAAAAGGCTGTTCTGTTTTAGTAACCGTCTGAGAGAGCGAAAAATGCTGCTTTTTATCCTCTCCCTCCCGGTGCGTATGATAATTGGATGGTAGACTAACTGGGAGTGCTTAGAGTTGAGTTAGATATTTAAAAGGTGTTACCCTGGGAACCTTTTTGGATAGCCGCTCAAGATTGAGTGGTACAGTTGTGGTGGTGCCTGATGAGCAGTGCGTGATCATAGCTGAAGCTGGTTGCGAAAGGTGACATGAAACTGAATACAATCCAAATATTGTTCAAGGTTACCTCCCGACCTTTATCCGCTGAAGATCGCGTTGTTTGAAAGCTTTGGAAAATGATTACATAAAGCTTCTTGAAGTTATATTATATTGCAGCCACTCCCGAGTCCTACCCAACGGTGCCGTATTGGGGGCTCCCTTAGGTTCATGGGAATGAGGCCCATTTGTATTACTGTTTTTGGCGAATGGATACCCAACGTGTAGCTTGCCAGGCTCTAACGTGGGGGCTGTTTTGAATCCGTAGGCTAGCCAGGCTATCCCAAAACTTTGACGAGGGGCTTTGTTTTTGGAAGCTGCCCCGAATCGTGCTCACGACTTTTTTTCTTTGGAAATTCAGCGAATTATATTTGTACTGTGCTTTAAGCTCTCGAACAGTTTCTGAACGTCAAATAGGTCAGGAATCCTACAGAGAGAACTATCGAGTTTGTGTCACTTCACTCTTGCATCACGGAAGGCACATTCACTTTCTGACCGCTATAAAATCAGCTTCACTTCAGGTTGGCCAGACATTTATCCGTTTGGAACGCGATTTCGATCATCACGTTCAATTCTTCAAAGACCTCCCGGCGACATTAGAACTTCTCGAGCAACAGCCATTTAAAGACTTCTTCCAGGTTCGCTTTCTATAGAAGTATTGCTGTGTCAAGGCTTTTTTGTGTCCTGCAACGATAATGTCCGTCGATTGCTGTGTGCATGCTATTACAGATTACTGTATTCTATTATTACGACACTATTCGCTACTGTATTCTGCTATTATTCGGATTCTAAAAATCCATTTTTCGGTCATTTTCTTTGACCAAATGCTTTTAAAATGATCTCAAATCCTCTTCGGCCGAGTGACCTAAACGTCATGGCCAATGTTTGTTGCCATCTTTGAAGCGACATTACTCTGACATTGTTTTCTCAGCTTTATCTCTTTTTCTTCTCAGTTCCTTCACTGATTCAATACAAATCTTGATTTTGAGAGCTACTTTTGGGATTTTTCGAGTCATCTGCCAAAGCCAGAAAAGTTCATTGAACTTCTCAAAGTTTTTTTCTGGCTCAACTCATAGGTTCACTCGGAACTTTTGTGTTAGGATTTCATTTTTTCTCGAAAATGAGAAGCTTATTCATCTCTGTTCCCGGATATCATCCATTCTACGAGAAATAAACTTATTTCTCAATTGATTCATCATCCGCGGTACTAGACCGTATTTTATTTTTATTTTTTTATTTATTTTGGAGAGCCTTCTTCCGCTCTCTGAAAACATGATCTGATCGCTGATCAACCTTGTCCTCATCACTGATTTTTTTCTATTTTAATTTTTTCATAATGTCATTTTTAAATTACAAACCTAAGCTATTCCACAACCGTTTCATCGATTATCGATCGAATTAGGCTTAAAGGCGAACTATGAAAAGGCCAATACTTATCGAGGGGTGGTTTTTGAAGTTTATTTTCAAATCGTTCTGATCCTCTCCTCATCCTTTCTTGCATCTATTTAATCTTATCCTTTTCATTTAGCCAACTTAACGGCTACTCTTCTCTTTCTAGTTTTTTTTTGAAACTAAGGCAACTTTGAATTTTGTTCGCCTCGAAATTTGCTAATTTGAACTGCTTCGATTTTTTTCTATTAAATTTCTCTACCGATTTTATTGAGCTTATCTTTACGTTGCTCATGATTTAATGTCCTCAAAATTCGGGCCCTTAAAATGTCCCAGTATGGCCTACCCTGATTTCAAGGGGTGCACACATAACATTAAATAATGCACTAATAAAATGGCTGGAATCACGAAAATTGTAATGAATAACTACGAACAAATAGACGAATGAGCATTTTTCCTGTCGGCTGAGACTGAGCCTCTCCTTCTTTTTTTCAGACTGTCCTTTTCAAAAACTCTTTTTCATCTCGTTCCTGAGTACTCCCACGTACCGAATTTTTCTGGCGTCGCCAATTTTTTCGCGATCCTGAGGTCTCGTTCTTTTGCTTGCTAACTGAAGCAATGCATCTTTCGTAGGGAGCATTTTCACCATTCAACGAGACGAGGAGGCTTTTACACCGAACAGCAACTGCGTTTTCGCACAACACACAAAGTATCTCATCGATGGGGTCGATGCTATATGCATGCATTCCCCTTTAAACTTTCGTGAACGGGGAAGATTGCTATTCCGGAATCTCAAAGAATTTGCGCCAAATATGCGCCAGGGATCCGCTTTTCTTTCTTATATTGAGGTGCTTGAAGGAAAGGGCGGGTCGATGCTACAGTAGCGCTCAAAAGTCTTCGGTGAAATGCTTTGACGCTTTTT